ATTGATCAAATAGCATAGAAAAATAGAGCAAAAGACGCTCTATCTGTTCATTAAAAGAGAAATGTTTTTGAAGCTCTCCTTAAGAAAATAAAGTACCTCCCTCACTACTTTTGGATTGCCCTAAGTATTATCAACACATATTGAACATTTACAGTTCTTATAATGTCAGAATGTCATCAAATTTGGGGGGTGCTAGATCTCGACTAAGTTACCGAATAGTTATGGTATCTTGTTTTACCATGAGAATTCGTACATAACACCATAATTGGGGGGACTAGCTAACAATTGAAGATTGACAGACTTTAATATGAGTGATCTTAGGCGAACGATTACGGAGTGAGTATTAATACTAAGGCTCCGCTAATTCGAAAAGATAGCACTATTTTGTTTTTCGGCTGATCATCATTCTATAGAGCTTTTCGTGCTGATCAAGAATATCGAGGTTTTAACCCTCCCAATTCAAACTTAAACGAAAATAATTCGAAAAACTTTAAAGGCCTCAAATTTCAAAAAATTTGTTAGGGGATGGAAAATGAAAGTGTCTCCAGAAATGTTATTTAGAGCCTTATCACATATAAGGTGGCAAAAGGAAAATTCATTGGATGAGGGAGACAAATAGCGCCAACAAATTTTGCAAATCCACGGAAGCATTACCTCTTAACAAACATCTTGACGAGATAGCTAAAATCTTCATATTTGTGATCAGCACGCTTGACTTTATTATATATAATATATTCCATTAGCATTTCACTCCTATCGTTATGGTTGTTTTTTGTAGGTGTTTTGTTTTTTTCATGTTACTTTGTTATCTTTTACCTACGCAGGTCAAGTTCGAAAGCATCATAGAATGATATGAAAAAAAGTTGAGTATATGTGAAATAGTCAAGGGGAAAACAGCTGATTTTGGGATTTTTCCGATTTTCATCGATTTTATAGAAATCAGACATAGTGACAGGAAAGGGAAAAAGATAAAAGAAGTGTATAAGAAAAATTCTATCATTCTTAAGAAAAGAAAATTATCTCTCATTCTTAACTACTGATAATTTTACGAATCAATTAATGTAACCCACTTGTTTTGTTATCATGCAATCGTACAATGGATCTAAAGGAGATGACACAATAAAAGACCCGTGTCTTTTATTCTGCTCTTAAAAATAAAGATTTCAGGGAGATCTGCTATTATGTTCAAAAAAGGAAGCTGTTTTTCAAGTTCATGCTTTGAACAAATTTGAATTCTGTCTCAGTTATTACACAGTATTACGAGTCGATGTGAGACAAACAGTTATGAGAGAATGGGAGGATACTGATCATTACGCGTTTTTTCCTTCATTCGGCTTACACATTTGTTGTCACATGTATTGTAGTTTTTATAGCTAATAGGCCTCTAGCATTCAGATAGAGATATACATATATCTCAGATATATGTCTATTGACATTTGCTTCACATTTGTCACGTTTTCTTTCTCTACAGGAGAAAAAGAGGAGAGAGAACAGTTATAGTCTCGCATTATTGTTCTTCCATTAGAGCCATATCAAATAAGGAATATCTCTATCTTTTCACATCTTGGCAAATGTTAGCAAATGTCTATATGTTATATAGGCTCTATTAACAAAATGTCGGAACAGAAAGAAAAAGAAAAAAGAAAATAAGTTTAGCCTGGTATATTTGAATAAACACACAGGAAAGTATCCTAAAAGTGTAAACATAACTTGTTGAACTTGACGAAGTCAATCAGATCAATATCAAATCAATAAAAACGTTTTGTCATCTACGGTATGGAGAAAATACTATTCATCTAAAGTTTTTTCAAGTGTCTCTGATTGATAATGAAAGAGCCTGAATGGAATTAGGCCAAGGGCAAAATTCTTTTCTATTTCATAGTTTTATTTTCAGAACGGTTATTACATCTTTTTAAAAAATTCAACTTCAGTCTGGTTTATTACAATAGACTTTTTCTGAACCGTTGTAATAAACCAGACTGAAGTTGAATACGCCATAAATTCGAAAGCATAGTTTGACAAGCTGGCACGAGTACTCGTCATTGACATATGAGCGCCAGAATTTCAAGAGAGAAAAATAGAGCAAAAGACGCTCTATCTGTTCATTAAAAGAGAAATGTTTTTGAAGCTCTCCTTAAGAAAATAAAGTACCTCCCTCACTACTTTTGGATTGCCCTAAGTATTATCAACACATATTGAACATTTACAGTTCTTATAATGTCAGAATGTCATCAAATTTGGGGGGTGCTAGATCTCGACTAAGTTACCGAATAGTTATGGTATCTTGTTTTACCATGAGAATTCGTACATAACACCATAATTGGGGGGACTAGCTAACAATTGAAGATTGACAGACTTTAATATGAGTGATCTTAGGCAGATCAATATCAAATCAATAAAAACGTTTTGTCATCTGCGGTATGGAGAAAATACTATTCATCTAAAGTTTTTTCAAGTGTCTCTGATTGATAATGAAAGAGCCTGAATGGAATTAGGCCAAGGGCAAAATTCTTTTCTATTTCATAGTTTTATTTTCAGAACGGTTATTACATCTTTTTAAAAAATTCAACTTCAGTCTGGTTTATTACAATAGACTTTTTCTGAACCGTTGTAATAAACCAGACTGAAGTTGAATACGCCATAAATTCGAAAGCATAGTTTGACAAGCTGGCACGAGTACTCGTCATTGACATATGAGCGCCAGAATTTCAAGAGGTATCAGGCGAGAAAATCGATCTTCAACTATGTCATTTTTATACTGCAATTATGCATTAAATTCTTCTTGTTGTGCGTATATGTTCTCACATGTGCGACAGTTGTTTTTGCATATACTCTTGGCTATACATAGTACTGAACCTCGACTGCTTATGCTCCAAATTTGGACTCTTTATCTACTTCGCAGACCAAGATATAAACAAAAGAAATTTCACTTTCATATAGTTATCGTTTCAACCTATTTTTAACGTTTTTACGAAATATTCCATAACGTTTCAGGAAAATAAGTTTTGATGAAAAACTTTTGGCTATCTTCGTAAGTGTGTCGTTGCTACCTACTATGCAAATATGAACAAAAAGTTCAGACATTGACTGAGTAACATAGGTCATCTGTACCGTGCAACGACTCTTAAACAGAATGTGTTCCATGAAAAAACTAAAAGAGAAGTTTAGATGTCTGAGTTAAGAAAGTTAGATGACTAACTTGGATCTAACTTCCTCTAGTTCTTCTAGTCTTCGTCAGGACATATGCCAGGTGAAAATGTTGTTGAGGTAGAGGGTACAGCTGTTGCATCGAAAGTAGAAGACATTTTTGTTGTACCAGCAAATTCGATCCGTTTAGCTGAAATCGATGGTGATGCTGTCTGTGTACGTGAAGGTAATGGTGATAATAACATTACTGTTTGTAATGTTCCAATGTCAATACCAGAATCGGAAACCAATGCATTCGAAATAGCCGAAAAACAAGCCCATGTTTGTTTTTGTGTAGAGAGAGGTAAAGTTGCCAAACGCGACGTAACATCGGCTATCAAGTCCTGACATGTTGTTAATGGAGAAGCTTGTTGTCGTGGCGATACGAACGATGGTGTTGATGGTCGTGAAGAAATATTATTTTGAATTGCTGTGTCAGAGAGTGTAGGTTGTGTTGGCAATAAGGACGATGCTGATTGTTGTGTTGCTCATCTGTTCCATTATCGTCGACATTTGGATCTAATAATTCACCAGAACAACTCGGATCGTTTTCATTCGTTCCAGAATTTAAATTCTGATAAAAGTGATAAATCATCATGAAATTGTTTATCGTTCGAAGTATCATCGGATGGAGCAAAAATATGCGGTGAGGCATCGAGAAAAGATGTCTGTTGAAGTGCCGGCGACGATTGATTACCGGTACTGACAGCAGAGAAACGTGGACTCTTAAGAGTGTTTAGCACAAATCAATTAGTTTTCAACAATTAACACTGAAGGCAGCGGTATTGTCATCGAACAGTCCGAAATAGATCGAGTTATAAACCGATTTATTAATAGTAATTTATAACTATTTTAACTTTTCATCGAAAATTTAAAATAGGTATAATCTAGACAGGATTTGAAAAAACCTGATTTCGATTTATAAACCTGCAACTGATTTATAAATGTCGTACCGGTTTATAAACCTCGCACCAGTTTATAACTATTTTAAGTTTTTGCCGATTTCGATCAACTTTTAACTTTTGCGGACTCTTCAATGGGTACTGTACATGCTTCGATCTTTCTAAGACTACTGTATATTTCGAATGTCTTTTCGAAGTTTGGAAATCTATCTTATTCCTATAAACGTTATTAAAAATATGTACGAGGCCTTGAGATATTGAAATATCCATTAGTTTTACTAATATTAAAGCACAAAAATAGTAGAAATACCGTTGTTGTTTGTGAATAATTTTGTGATTGTACTTCTTCTAATAAAATATTAATTATTTCTTCAGCATACGGATCAATTTGACCATGAAAATTAATGTAACCAACTGTATCCGATGACTGACGTACGAAACAATTCAGGTCTCCAACCCGAACTGAACTTACACTGAATTAGAAAAGGAACTAATTAGGAGAAAAAATTATTTGAATTATAAACATACTGTTGAGCAGTCTGTTTTAAAACGTCATTAACTCTTTTAAATCGACTCGCCTCTGCTAATGTCTTATAATATGCTGTAATCTGTCCATAATCTGTTGTCAGTATTTGTTCTGTAATTTCTCTTGCTCGCATATAACCTCGATCATATAAACCCGTAATAATTTCTATTTCGAGAGGTGAAACTTTCAAATAGGTACGTTTTGTTTTTGATATACTTATCGTAAACATCATTTAGTGAATATTCAGAAATGATAAATGTATCTGGACGTCAGATGACATATATGACTATTGTGAGGATGTTTAAACAAATATTTTTAAATATTAGACATTTTAGATATATATTGGACGTCAGATATGCCTTTTTGTTACATAAACGTCTGTCTTTTAACTAGTTTAGTTTTGTTGTAAATTACAGAAAAACAAAAGTGTCTAAAAATGCACTCGTTCACCTTGCATCATCACTTCTCTTTTCCTCACTTTCTCAACATACCATGGATCCTTCTCAACCTCTTGCGCGTCGAAATTGACATGCAGTTCGTCAAGGGTTGCAAATGTTTAGTTTTTTTTTACGAATACTATTTCCATTAATCGATGTTTTATACGAAAATCAATTACAACAACAAAAATTCCAAACACTTTGTGAACATTTAATACATCTTTTAAGAATTATACCATATTTAACACGCATTATAATTTATCATATAACAATGCCAGTTGATCACTACGAAGTTTATTGACAGATTTATTTACTGATTTAGCACCCACATCTGGAAGATTTTGTTCCTTAACCGGCATAATAACTACAGCATTTTGTGACATATTATCCGTTTTTGTTCAATTTAGTATTCAAAAATTCAGGGTTTTTCGTGCTCGTCTACCTTTTAAGCGTCTCCACGCTAATACACTTCTTCCATTACTTATATGGTTAAGAACTTACAACACAAATGATGTTTTAAGTATTATTTTTAAAGTATCTGTGTACAAAATATGTCGCTACAGAACCTTCTGTTTTCCAGTACTAGTGAAAAGTTTAAAATCAATGATAAAGTGGCCAAATAATAACGAAATGACGAACTTAGTAATATGGCATCCGATCTTAGGACGTTATGTAGGTTATGTCGATGGCACTCGCCATCGAATCAACAGACCGTGTATGTATTTTTTAAATCTAATTCTATGCGTAGTAGAGCAGATCTGTTAGAGTTCTCCAGAAGATTATACTAATTTACATAAAGCTGTTTTGAAAAATAATCATATACACCCTATAACTGCATTTCTGCTTAGGTCGCAAACAGCGTGTATACTATAGTGGAAATTCACGTTCACATTGCTTTGAATCTATTTATGTTGTTTCATCAACCCGGCGTTTAATATTCTTTAAATCAGGATTTCTGGGATCAGTTCACGACAGTCGAATGTTTGCAAATGTTGGAATTGGAAACATACCACTTCACACAAACATCTTGGCAGATAAAGGATTCGCAAATTTTACTGACTCCCGTAAGAAGAAACGAGTTAAGACAATTTCCACCAGTATATATCTATGTGCAGCTTATTTAGCTAATATTCGGGTTAATTTGTTTTTTGATATTTGAAAATAAACAATTTCTTTTCTTATTTGCTATAACTATGTTAATAAATATACTTATTGGATAGTCAAAATATAAATCATAATTTTAAAGAAATATCTACGGTACCACTATTTGAAAAGTATCCGATACAAACCCAGTTTCGAGTTCGTCAAGGTGAACAAGTTATGTTTACACTTTCAGGATACTTTCCTATGTGTTTACTCAAATATACCAGGCTAAACTTATTTTCTTTTTCTTTCTGTTCCGACATTTTGTTAATGGAAGAACAATAATGCAAGACTATAACTGTTCTCTTTTCTCGTTTTCTTCTGTAGAAAAAGAAAACGTGACAAATGTGAAGCAAATGTCAATAGACATATATCTGAGATATATGTATATCTCTATCTGAATGCTAGAGGCCTAATGAAGGGAATAGAAAAGATATATTTTTCATGTTATCACATGCACAGGATGACCCTTTCTCGCTTTTCCATGCGCACATTTATGTGTGCTCAGTAGGAGAGAGAATTTACTTTCAATAGAAAATATTTATTATGAATTTTACAAGACTTACAGGTAAAAAACTGAAAAATAGGGGGGCTTTTACTTCAATTTTTAGAAGATGAGTTCTTTCTAGTTCATCGGCTAACGTATTAATTTTTTCTACGTGAAACAATGTGTTTCCAATTCGCTTTATCAGTTTGTTCTCAGTATTAAAAAGATACTGTAAATTAATTTAACAGTAGATGGTATTCATATTCTTACTTGTAGGTTTACTAGTAGTCGGAAAGTAGCAATCACTAAATTTCCAGTAGAACCTGATGAGTTTCTTATTACTGTAATGCCGTAATAAGACTGTTACCCTGCTGATATTATTTCTTTAAAAAATATTTTCACTCATTGTGTTCCTGGCTTCTTGATAAGTCTCTCGTTAGGACATTATGGCGATGGATAAAATCATGGACTCCTAATAGACAAACGGTCATTACATGTGTCCGCTTCCATACTTAGAGCGAAAGCCATTTTTCAAAAAAAACTTTACTTCTCAGTGCATTGACCTTTTCACACTAACTTTCAACTATTACGAGGACCTTATAACAAGAATAGGATTTCGCCAAACTTTTTCATTCGAATTTTCCAAAAACCAGTCCCTAAAACATACATCAGATACTGGCGCCACCATATCTCGAAAGCGACGACGTTCATACCTTTATTTAGCTGCACGATTTCTCGGTAGCAAAATAGTGCAGAGAGCTCTGGAAGGTCTTAAATCGAAGCTGACGCATGTGGCCAGATGCTAATGGAGCCTGATTTTTGATATTTGGGCTACATCTGTGGTTAGAAAAATATCTTTATGCAAGTTAACGAGACTCTTTCGAATTTTGAACTTTTGATGCTGACCATTAATTT